CGGCCACATTTAAAAAAGTTGTAGTAAATAATACAATTACAGTTAAATAATACTATTACATTTCTCGGATTAAACATTTTGCCTCTAAAAAATTATAAATAATAAATTGTAATTATATAAACATCTTTAGAAACAAAAATAGTAAATATATTTAAAAAATAGTAATGCTTTATTGTATACATACTTTATTAACATTACATTATTTATTATGTTAAAGACAAATATATATTTTAATTTACTCTAAATGTATATTATATAATTATTATACCTTTTTACATTTTTATTTTTGAGAAACTCAAGAAGAAATATAGTCTTATGTGATATATAAACATGTTTTTATGTATGATAACTGATATATGTCTTTTCCACAAAAGTAGTAGGAATAAGTATCAAAAGATTTTTCTGCAATACTGTAACAAAATACAAATAAGAATTTCAACTTATTTTTACAAGCTAAAAATTAAATTATACGAAAAGTGTAAATATTAATAAATATTTTTAAAATATTTAAAAAATATACTTACAAAATCGATTGTATAATGATTGATACTTTGATACAGTAATACTGATGTTACTATAGTACACGATATCACGTGCACTGATTCTAACATTTGCATAGCGACAGCATTTTATACTGCTGCTTATTGCGTTCTACTCTGTTAAAAATAGATAGAAAACGATAAAACCAATATGATTTTTAATCGTAGTTATGAACCATAAAAAAATTAACATGTATGAACAATTTATTAGGATAATGTTTTTAATTATTTATGAATTTTATCAAAACGATAAGTTACTGTAGACATTCTATCGATATTTCAACGATTAAAATTGTTTTTATCAGTTAAATCCTATATTAGTTCTTATCGTTTTCTATCGATTTTTTTTTAACAGAGAAACTACTCGAACGAAAATACTTCTGTGATTAGACGTAAACAGACTGTTTCCTCAGTAGATTTGTTTATATCGATTTAACTTGACACTTATATGACACTCAAATGCTTTGTAAGCGTTGTTCAACCGTGCGCGATAAAAATGATTCATAGTTATACATCCGCAGAATATTGCGGAAATAGATTTGCTTTTATCGTTATCCCTTGTTAAATGCAAAAATGCGAGCAGAACGTGCTGCGTGAAGAATTGCTGCGTGCACGCCGCGTAAACGAGCACGGATAGTGTGCGTATAGAGGCGTTTATAATTATTTCTTGGAAATGATACTTCGGAAAACAACTTTGTCACACATGGTTGAATTCGTATAAAAATAATCTTTAATTTGATTTTAAAAAATTCAAAAAAAATTTTTGGTGGTGGGGATAAACAAAAAATTAAGCAATAAAAAAATTATTTTTAATTATAATTATAAAGTACTCTTAAAGCCATTCAACTTTTATTAGAAACATTTTTTTCTATCTCTCCTAGTTTCGACGATATTCACATTGAAATAAAAAAACCGATTTTTTTCTAAGGGGTCTTTCATCCCTTAAAAGCGCGAAGCGGCACGAATTTGCGGTAGCTTAATTTTTGGTTTTGTCTAGAGAATAACACATCAAAAGCTCATCGAAATCGGAGGGGACACTTGGGTCCTTTTCCTTGTTAGAATATTTTCGCGTGCTGTCAATTCATTATTCGGACTTAGACTCCACGCATCAAAATCGGTCTAGACAGAGTAGATTCGCGTGTGCGAACACTTTAGAGCTGTTCCCCTGGCGAATTCAAGCCAAGACGAGCCGTGCGATATTACGAATTGTAATTTGTAAAATTGTAAGTAACTATCCTTATTGAATTTGTGAAATTGTAAGTAACTGTCTTTATTGAATTTGAAACTGTAAGTAACTATTTTTACTGAATTCATAAACTGTGCGTGACAATCTTTATTAAATATTTTCTAAATTTAATTAAAAATTGTAACAATCATAAACTATATTATAACATTACGAAACTTCTTTTTTTTAACTTAAAACATATTGTTATATCGGATCATTTATATTCTCTTTAGAAGTGACATCAGATATTGAATTATTTTAACATTACTTTATTATTATACTATCTACAATACTACTGAACATTAACTGTCAAGAACTAATTAAATAATTTACTACTGCATGTTCATTATTAACATTGACTTATTTACAGAACAACTTGAAGTGTTTGTTAAAAGTGTTGTTGAAGTGAAGTGATATAGTAATCGAATTTTAACACGAGAGTTATACTCCATCGTGAAATAATAGTATTCTTTTATGAAGATTGATTTAAACCCGCGAATAATTATTGTAGATTTAATTATTGACTTCAGAGTTTCCGTGTGACGATTTGAGTCTCCGAGTGCTTTGTTGTTAATATTTTATTGAGTGTTAGTATCTTGAGGCGAGCGTATCAGCGCTTCGAGTTGCTGACAGTTATTAAATATTTATTTATTCACTTCACTAGTTCAATTAAATTCAATTAATTAATATTTCTTGTCCGATTTTAAATAATTAACTCGATTATCAGTGAACAAACTACTTCAAGTGATTAATTTAATATTTTAATAAACTTATGCTTGAATAATCATAAGTTAACTTTGATATATTATAATAAATGAAGTGTCACATTTGACATATATGAGTGAACGATCTATTGGCTCTTCAACTGACAGTTTAATAACGAATTATCATATTTTAATTTCATACCATACTTCCAAAGTGAATTATTTGTTAGTGAGAACGACCCTTAATAAATAAATAATTTTGAATAAACATTATCTTATTACGAAACTATTTGACGTGCATGTCGAGACTACGTACGATATTATGAAACATTGATGATTTACGTGCCTGAAACTAAAATATTATTTTGAATTAATTGAATTTCAAGATTTTGAGAATTGCCTTTAATGATTTTGAATATGAGTTATTACTATTGTGTTATCTGAAATATTATCTTGAGTAGATGTATAAGGCCGGTTCTAACTAGGGAGTTCCGAGGGGGGGTGAGGGGCAGGGGGGTCCGCGGAGCGGGGGGGTCCGCGGGGAGGGGAAAGCCGCGGAGAGGGGGAAACCGCTCAGAACGTTCACGGTCTGATGCGGGGTCCGCGGGGAGGGGGAAGCCGCGGAAAGCCGCTCGATCAGCTGGCCTGACCGCGGGGACGTGGGTGCGGGATGCGTGGGGACGGGGGAACCG